AGGGAAACAGGGGAAGGCTTCCTGGAGGAAGGGATATCTAAGCAGAGACAGGAAAGAGGAATAAGAGTTCACCAACTAAACAAGAGAGGTAAGAAAAGGCAAGGCAGAAAGAAGAGCATGAACCAAAGCCAAGAGGCAAGAGAGAACAAGAAAGTGAAAAATGTTCAGAATGACTGAAACACAGAATATATGAGAAGATTGGGAGAGATAAGGCTAGAGCAGAAATCGGGAGCAAGATTATTGAAAACTATATCAAGGGGTTGAGAGCAGTGGGATACTAAAGGAAGATTCTAAGGAAGCCAGTGACAAAGTCAGATTTGGATTTAGAAATTTGTTATCATAATCTAAGCCTGAAAAGATGATGACCTATGCTAAGCAAATGATAGTAAGAAATGAACTATATGTAGGAGGTGCAATTGATAGGAAATGATGAAGAGCCCAGGGTGAGGGGAGGGAGAATTCAAGAAACATATCTTGGCAGTTGGGTGAATGATTTACTGAGACAGGAAACATATGGAAGAGCAGTTTGGGGAACAGGGTAGAATAGCTGGGTTTTGTTTTAATTGTGTTTGAAGTGCTGGTGAATTTTACAAGTGAAGTGTACAGAGCAGATAAAACTAAGGAAAATCTGTGAGTCCCATAGGCAAACTTAGGCACTCTAGCAGCCACTGAGTATCTAGTCATCAAAATATCAAAAATATTAAAGGAAACTAGTTTGGTGGATATTTTTTATTGTCTCATCATGGGCTTACGTTGATTTAATCTTCTGACCTGGCTTCTCAGCCATACTTGCTGAATAAGGACCTTAAAACCTGGTGTTTATCATGAAGCAGATTCCAACTGCTAAAATCCAGATCCTTTTTTTTCCAGGCAACTCCCTGGCTACATTTCGGAGAGGGGACTCGAAGATGTTGGTAATGGAGGTCACATTGTTTGTTGAAAACAACACAAACAATGACAACTAACTTTTTAAGTGTTTGGAAAAGGGTGATGCCTAACATCCTTTATAGCTGCCACAGACACAGAGTTGCACCAACTGCCTTCTCGAACCCTAACTCATCCCTGCAAAGACCTAGGTGTTCTCCCAGGGAGGGCCCAGCTTAGACTAGAAAGATGGTAATTCTTGTCGAAACATAAGTTAGGTTGACCTGTATGGCTTAAGAAACACATTAGACCTTTGAATTCAAACCTTATTGAGCTTTTTGAAACCCCAACCTCTTCTACATCCCCCACTTCTTTTTAGATTACTGAAGTGTTTTTTTTTTTAGTTTCGCAACAAACCTCTCTGTATCTCAGTTTATATCTCAGTTGGTCAGATATTGAGCTAAGGAGAGACAACATTTTTGTTTTGTTTTGTTTTGCATGTAAACTTCACAGTAAGCCTATGGGAGGACACTGGGGATGAGAGAAGTTAAATAGCTTTCCCAGGGTCACAGAGCCCACATTCTTTAGCAACAGTGCTATACTGGTTCCCATTTTCTACCTATTATCTTAACCTTGATGGTGACAATAATTACTGTAAAGGTAACTAGCATGTATTGAGCATTTATTATGCCCCCAAAACTCAATGAAAACACTTTACATAGATTTAGGCATTTCATCTTCACAACAGTTTTACAAAGTACTATTGTCTCCACTTTTAAGATGGGGATTCTGAAGCCCGGAGAAGTTATCACCTGCTGAATGCACACAGGTGACAAGTGAAAGAGCCAGGGCTTGAACACAAAAGCCTGACCTCGGAATCCTCACTGTAATCATTACACTTTGGTTGGGGTAACCTCTTAGGTCCCTCTCCCACCACCCAACCCCTGCTGCCACCTGTTCAAAGGTTCAGTGATTTGTTTCTATACCATGGAGACTTATCACATTATATTTCACATAAGTTACATCATTAAAAGTATGGTTTTGAATGGTTGTGTTGAGTTTATTTGGTTTAACAAGTTTTTGTCTAGCTTAAGCATTGGAAGTAGCTAAGGGAGAAGCAGGTAGAGCCGGTCACAGGTTGGCCCAGGACCAAGTTGAGGTAGTGAGTTTCTTTTTCAACCCTGAAGGTGCAGAGATAGGGCTGTCTTGGCGTCCCACTCCACAGCTTGGGAGAGCCTAGTGCCTCGTCACAGGGTAGAAGCCACCTTTGCCAGCAGGGGTCTCTGCTTCACAAAACAATATCCTATTGACTCCTCTTTTGGATCCAGAAACAGGAGACTGGCTGGATTTTATTCTCAGTGCTCAGGAGGAACTCTAGAGTCCAGATTTCCCAGGACAAAAAAAAAAAACAAACCCACAAACAAACAAAATAAGACAACATTTTACCTTTCTCTAGTTTTTGTGTTTTTTTTTTTAAACTGAGAGAGGATTAGTAACAGGCAACTATAATACCAAAATTTTTTAAAAAATAGATCCTGGGGGCGCCTGGGTGGCTCAGTTGGTTAAGCGACTGCCTTCGGTTCAGGTCATGATCCTGGAGTCCCGGGATCGAGTCCCGCATCGGGCTCCCTGCTGGGCAGGGAGTCTGCTTCTCCCTCTGACCCTCCTCCCTCTCATGCTCTCTGTATCTCATTCTCTCTGTCTCAAATAAATAAATAAAATCTTTAAAAAAAAAAATAGATCCTGAGCATGGTGCCTCCCAATGTCTTCAAGCTAATGCACTAGACTTAGAAATGTACATTTGGCATGCTTTTTTTGTACTTGTACCCTAGTTATCTGATCATCCTCCATTCCCATAACACCTTTGTCCTACCCTTCCAGCCCCTCCCCCGCCCCAGTTCAGGTCTATCTATTTTGATTCTGAACTCTTCTCCAGACCTTCCCTGTCTTCTGCCTCCTGCTAAGGTGACTCTGTTAATGCTAGTACTTTGCCAATAATAGCCAACTCAAAACAATGTATTACCTTGCCTTCTCAGCACAAAAATGTACTTGATGACTGTAGAACAAGTGTATCAACTATAGTGCAACTTAGTGGCTGGAAAATAGAAGTACAGGGAGATGGAAGGAGAGAAAAAGGAAAGTGGTGAAGAAAAAAGAGAAACTTCTAATAAACTCCTCTGTATGGTGTGATATATGCTTTCACATGTTTCTCTCCTAATATTAGACTTAAGAACCTTCCCTAATCCCCACAGTGAGCCTGAACTTTGACTTGCTGAGGAAGTTCAGAGAGCCCTGAATCTCTGGTCTTGATTAGCCAGATATTTTACATCCCCACTATAAGATTATCTGGGAAACAAGTGTAAATGAAGCTGTATGTTCATCCTCATTCTTTTTCTCCACCCTACCCACCCTATGTTCAAATACTTCCCTCCCAGGCTCTCACTTCAGCCCTGAATTTACTGACAAAGCCTCTGCAGCCTGTGAGTGGGAAGGCTGGGGCAGAATGTAAGGAAAGGAAATAAATAATGGATGATGAGTTTGGCTGGTGACATACTGTTGCAACAGCAGCAAAATCTGCAGGAGTTTAGATGCAATTCTGCCGATCTAAAGAGATCTTCAGTACAAGAGAAAGGAAAGAAACTCTGTCTTCAGCAGCTCCATAATTTTGAGCCCACACTTCACGGTTATCATAAGGCAACCAGTGGGGTCCCACACATCCAAACATTTATGATGGTTGAAGGTGTGATCTGAAGTGCATGAAAACAGCTTTCTGCTCAAAAAAAGCTCTCACGTAGCCTGAAATACCCTATTCATTCATCATGATGTCAGGGGAACAGTATTGTATGAGTCAGGTACTCAAATTCAACTGATTTAAGTAAAAAAGGGATTCATTAAAGGCTATGGGTGGAGAGAAATTCAACAGCAGGATGATGGACTAAGAAGCTACAGGCCATTCTTCTCCAGAGAGACACCCTGTTAACAATATACTGACAAGAATACCTCTGTGAGAACTCTAGAGACCAGTCAAGAAGTTACAGCACTCAAGGCATTGTAAAACCAAAAAAGGGTTCCAACAAAAAGGGTAGGAAAATTTGCAGTATTTGGCACACCCATCCCTGCCCTACCCTCATGCAGAATAGTGCTGAGCAACTGGGAGGAAATCCCTCAGACCATCACGATGGAAACAAAAAAGTGGACCATGTGCCTAACATTCTAGTTTGTCTGGGGGTTGCCTGAGTGACTAGTTTCTATCTTGCCTGACTTGGACCATTTAAGAAACTGGTACCAGTTTGGAAGCCACTGAAAACAGAAGAGAGCAGCATGTCAGAACTGCAGAACCACAGGTAGACACCAGGGGGAGCAATAGATCAGAAAAGGTTTGAGATGTCCTAGAACTTGCAGTTGAGCTGATTGGTGAAGGTCTTCCCCTGGACAAAGCTAATAGGCAAAGACCAATACTGCTGGGAGAGGTGGTTGTTTTTTTTAAAATACCCAAATCCCAGCAAAAGATTATAAGGAAAACAAGAAACATGGAACAAAGAGGGAACAAAAATAAAACCCCAGAAACTGACTCCTAAACAAAGAAACAAACAAAAAACAGATCTATGAGCTGTCTGACAAAGAATTTAAAATAACTGTCAGGAAGATGCTCAATGAGTTAAAAGAGAATACAGACAACTAAATGAAATCAGGAAAATGAATAAAATAAGAATCTCAACAAAGAGATATAAAGTATAAAAAAATAACCAAACAGAAAAGATGGAGCTTAAAAATACAGTAATAGTACTGAAAAAAAATCATTGAGGGAGTTCAACAGCCGACTTCATAAAGCAGAAGAAAGAATCAGTGAGCTTGAAGACAAGTCATTTGAAGTCATTGAGTCAGAGGAGTAAAAAGAAAAAAAAGAAGGAAGAAAAGCAAAGAAAACATAAGGTACTTAAGGGACACTATCAAGAGAACTAATATACGTATTAGGGAATCCAGAAGAAGAGACAGAGAAAAGGGTTGAGATCTTACTTGAAGAAATAATGGCCCAAACTTCCCAAATATGAGGAAAGAAAAGGACGCACAGATTCAAGTAGTTTAACCAACTATGAGGGGCACCTGGGTGGTTCAGTCAGTTAAGTGTCTTTTTTTTTTTTTTTAAGATTTTATTTATTTATTCATGAGAGACAGAGAGAGAGAGAGAGGCAGAGGGAGAAGCAGGCTCCCCAAGGAGCAGGGAGCCTGATATGGGACTCGATCCCAGGACCCCGGGATCATGATCTGAGCCAAAGGCTGATGCTTACCCATCTGAGCCACCCACGCGCCCAAGTGTCTGACTCTTGATTTCGGCTCAGGTCATGATCTCAGGGTTGTGAGATTGAGCTCCACATTGGGCTCCACACTGAGCATGGAGCCTCCTTGAGATTCTCTCTCTCCCTCTCTCTCTGCCCCTGCTCCCCAACTTGTGTGCACACCCGTTCTAAAAAAATAAATTAATTAAATAAATAAAATATTTTAAAAGTGGACTATGATAAATCCACAGAAAACCCCCTGAGACACATTATAGTCAAACTATTTATTTTATTTTTATTTTTTTTATTTTTTAGTCAAACTGTTTAAAGTCAAAGACAGAATCTTGAAAGCAGCAACAGAAAAGTAATTTGTAACATAAAAGGGAGTTTCCTTAAGATTATCAGTGGATTTCTCTGCAGACACTTTACAGGCCAGACTGGAGTGGCATAATATATTCAGAATGCTGAAAGAAAAAAAAAAACTGTCAGCCAAGAATACTGTATTCAGAAAAACTGTCCTTCAAAATTTAAGGAGAAATTAAAACTTTCTCTGATAAACAAAAGTTGAGGGGATTTATTTATTACTAGACCTGCTCTGCAAGAATTCTTAAAAGGAGTCTTTGAGTTGAAATCAAAGGAGAGTAGACTGCAACACAAAGACATATAGAAATTTAAGATTCTCTGGTAAAGGTAAATATATGGACAAATATAGAAACCTGTACTACTGTAATTTTGTTCACAGAATTTAAATGACAAAAACATTTAAAAGTAATTATAAATTTATGTGAACAGGTATATAATATATAAAAATAGAAGTTGTGACAAAATAAAGCGGAAGGGTGGTGTTCTAAAGGAGTAGAGTTTTTATATGCAATCGAAGTTATTATCAATTTAAAATAGAATTCTGTAACTTTAAGATGTTTTATGTAATTGCCGTGGCCACAAAGAAAATATTCCGTGAGATAGCTAGTCAAACTCATAAAACTAAAAGTGGAAAGGTGGTTACCATGGGCTGGGAGGAGGGGGAGGTGAGTTTTTTAATGGGTATAGAATTTCAGATTTTCAAGATGAGCAAGTTCTGGAGATCTGTCTCACAGCAATGTGAATATACTTAACACAACTGAACATAGACTTGATTTTTTTAAAGATTTTATTTATATATTTTTGTGTGAGAGAGAATGTGTACAAGAAGGGGGAGCAGCAGAGGGAGAGGGAGAAGCAGACTCCATGGAGCACGGAGTCCAATGTGGGACTCCATCCCAGGACCCTCCCAGATCATGACCTGAGCCAAAGGCAGGCGCTTAACTGACTGAGCCAACCAGGTGCCCTGAACATAGACTTTAAAATAATTAAGAAGGTATATTTTATGTTTTGTTTTTTTTTTACCACAGTAGAAAAAAAAAAGACTACTGGGGGTGAGGGGAGAGTTAGAGTTTATTGGGAACAGAGTTTCAGTTTTGCAAGATGAAAAGAGTTTGGGAGATGGATGGTGGTGATGGTTGTATAACAATGTGCATGTATTTAATGCCACTGGAATATATACATAAAAATAGTTAAGATGGTAAATTTTATGTTTTGTGTATTTTACCACAATTAAAAAAAAAAACTCACTAAGTCCAAAATAACCAATGAGTGTGACTATATCAATGAATTCACCTCAAACTAAATTGTGTCCCACTTTTCCTGGCATAGCACATTCACAATCCATTACATAATATTCCCAAAGATTTGCCAATAGAAATAAGCGAAATGCTGCCCAAAAACCTGGCATGGGGTAGGTTACAGAATCGCCAGCACTAGATTCAGGGATACACAGGCAAGAACAATGCCGCCAACTCATGCCATGAAATAAATGCACAACGTGGGCAGCATGCTACCACCACAAGACACTGGACACTGCCACCTGACCCCTTCCACTAATTCTGTCACTGGCAACACTTGTCAAAGCAGTCCACAGCTTCTCCCCCCAGAAGACTAAGAATCAATGAACCATAAGGTAGCAATTGACAGAATAATTTTATGGAGACTTCATAGTAGCAGAGTAGCTTTAAAGCCGTATCTTAGGAACTAGTGATACTGTAACACCTTAAACATGCATTGATAATATTTTTCAATTTTACAATTAGGAAATTAAATTTACAGAAAAAAAAGCAAAAAAATCTAAAGAGCTTTGAATTTGAAATTCCTTTCAATGCCCTGAATTTCATCTGACCTTTATAATAAAAAGGCATGCTTTTATACATATTGTGATCAATAGTTTAACTCATTTTTTTTAAAGATTTTATTTATTTATTTGACAGAGAGAGAATGAGAGAGAGAGCACATGAGAGGGGGGAGGGTCAGAGGGAGAAGCAGGCTCCCCGCCGAGCAGGGAGCCCGATGCGGGACTTGATCGTGGGACTCCAGGATCATGACCTGAGCCGAAGGCAGTCGCTTAACCGACTGAGCCACCCAGGCGCCCTTAACTCATTTTTTTAACCTTATATAAATACCCTCTTGAGTTCTACCAGGTAGCTAGGTACAATAAAAAAACATAACATCTATTTCTCTCCTGAGGTAGCCAGCCTCCAAAATATTCCTTTAACATTTACACCCCTGTGTAGTCCCTGCCACTTTGTCCAGGGTTAGTCTGTGTGACCAACAGAATATGGCAGACATGATGGTATGTCACTCTTGAGATTAGATTTTAAAAGACTATGGATCTCTTAGGGACACCTGGGTGACTCAGTCAGTTAAGCGTCTGCCTTTGGCTCAGGTCATGATCCCAAGAGTCCTGGGATTGAGCTCCACATCAGGCTCCTTGCTCAGTGGTGAGCCTGCTTCTCCCTCTGCCTGCCACTCCCCCTACTTGTTCTCTCTCTCCCTCTGTCAAATAAATAAATAAGATATTTAAAAAATAAAAAATAAAAGACTATGGATCTCTTAGATCTCTCACTCTGGGGGAAGCCAGGTACCCTATCATGAGGATACTCAAGAATCCCTATCCTACCTGATAAGGAACGAAGATGTCCAGCCAACAGACAGCAAAGAATGGAGCCTGCCACCATGGATGTGAGTAAGCTCGGAACCGGAAGCTCCTTGAGTACAGCCTTCAGATAAGAACTTCAGTGCCAGCCAACAGCTTGACTGCAACTTCCTGAAACACCTCGAGTCAGAGGTCCCCAACTAAGATGCTGCCACAGAAACTGTGGGATTGCTTAAAAATAATAAATGATATTTTAAGCTGCCGAGTTTTAGGATAATTTGTTATGCAGCTGTACATAACCAATACATCTCTCCAGCAGTTCTGTAAGGGAAATGCACGTGCACATGTGTGTATGTTTCAGAAAAAGCTGTTAAAATGTTAAATGCCTGCTGACATATATGTAAAACTATGAGAAATGGAACAATGCCCCCAAAATGCACATACTCAGGCTGCTGCCAAGTAGGTAGATTTTGAGAGTAAAAAGGTCCAAATTAGGGGGGCCTGGGTGGCTCAGTTGATTAAGTGTCTGCCTTTGGCTCAGGTCATGATCCCAGGGTCCTGGGATCGAGTCCTGCATTGGGCTCCCTGCTCCATGGAGTCTGCTTCTCCATCTCCCTCTGCTGATCCCCCTGCTTGTGCTCTGTCAAATAAATAAATCTTTTTTTAAAAGGTCCAGATTACCTCCAAATAGCTTATCGTACTAACCTGAAATTTTACCAGTAGAGATAAATTTCACTGGGTCTTGTTGTAGATGGTCTTTGAGAGTCTCCTGAAAGGCATAACATCTTAAAATAGCATTTACAATAAGGTCATGACAGGAAACAAAAGCTAATTCTAATGATGCGTCTGAAGAAACTTTTAACATGGAGATTATTTACAAAAGTGTGGGCATGGTTATAGGAACTAAGAAAGAATGTTGAAGGTTCCAGAGATTAGCAAGCTATGGAAGATATTTGGGCAAAAGGCAGAAATTGTGTTAGGAGAGTCCACTGCCAGGTGGACCCTAGGAGTAGGGGGCGACCAGTCATAACTATCATAATGAGAGGACATAGCCACCCCCAGAACCATGGTGCCAAAGCAGGGAGGGAATGGAAAAGAAATGTATTAAATCTCTCTCTACCCCCATCCTCCAGGCTCATCATGTGGGTGCTTTCCTTTGGGTAAAGCTGAGCCGCAGAAAGAGGACAAAGGAGCCCACTTGGTGCAGGGGTCAGTCCCCGGGGGCACAAAGCCAGACAGAAAAGGGCAGAGAATAGATGGTGGGGTAGCACAGCATTAGAGCATTTTCAGATTCTTAAAGAACCTTGAGAATTATCTAAGACAGTCCACTGGTGTGTAAATCCTCTTTATTTCATCCCTAGCAGAAATCCAAAAATGCCAAAGGCATGGCTTTTGGAGTCCAGCTGGCCTGCTCTGTGCTTCCAAGCCTTGTGACCTTGGGCAAATTACCTAACCTTTGAAAATCTCAGGTTTCTTTTCCTATAAAGTGAGCGTCATAATAACCTAATAGAGTTATGGTAAAATTAAATAATATACACAGAGGTGAGGAGACTTATAATACTTATAATTTAATATAGGCAGGTAGGTAGGTGGATAGACAAACTCTGGAGTGATGCATGAAAAATAAGTAACAGTGAATGCCCATTGGGAAGAATTTTGGAGGAATGAGTCCAGGGTAGAAGGAAAATTTAATTTTTATTATATGCTCTTTTTATAGTGAGTACAGCTGGATTTTTTTTCCCTTGTATATGTCCTATCTTTTTAAAAAAAACTCCCTTGACACCAACAGCCTTTCTTGTCTTGTATTCTGCTGCTTATTCCATTTATTCCACAACTATTACTTACTAAAATGCTTACTACTGTACTAGGTGTTGGGGCGACAAAAAAATTAAGATACCATCCCTGCTTTCAAGTAGCCAAAGTCTAGTTGTAGGGACAAAAAAGCAAGCAGATAAGCATTATGCAATGTAGTTAAGTATGGCCCGTCTGATTTTTCTTATTTAAAATTTAAAGACACATACACACACACATAATCCCCCTTAAATGACCCCTCTTTGGTTGCCCTTATCACATTCTAACATCCTATATAACTTATTTATTTATGGTGTTTATTTTCAGACTCCCTCCACTCCACAAAGATGAGAATTTTTGCCTGTTCTGTTCATTGGTAGATCTCTAATGCCTGAAATGATGAAATTTTTCAGTAGATGTTTGTTGAATGAATAATTGCTATGTGATATAAAAGCATGAAAAAGGAACTGCCAGAACAAACCATAAGGAACACTGAATTTGTATATGGAGGTCAGTAAGGCTTCCCAGGAGAGGTGACACCTTGTGCTAAATCTTGAAGAAAATCTAGTGACTTTGGCTGAAAGACCTAACATTTTAAGAGCACGCAAATGAGAAATACAGAGAGATGAAACACACAGGAAACTCAAGTCCAAAGGCATAAAGGTGTAAGAGAGATTGGCACATACCGAAAACCCAACATATGACAATAAATATTGGTTGCTGGTAATTGTTTATGCTGGCTGGGTGATGGGTTCTTGAAGATTTGTTATACTGTTCTTTCTCTATGTTTAAAATTTTCTGTAATACAAAGTTAAGAATAAATGAATAAACTATTTTAATGAGTATAAAAGAATTTTAAAAATGAATGGTTCTAGGCAGGGGGGCATGGTTACATTTACCAGCCACGTGTAAGAGCAGCCAAAGTGGGGTGGCAATAGGTGGGGGAGGGGGGGAGAAGAGGGTAAATACCTGACAAGGAATAGATAAATCAATAGTTTTCCAACTGTAAATGACAACTCAACTCAAACTAGCTCAAGTACAAAAGGGAATTCACTGATTCACATACTAGCGAGTACAGGGTGTACCTGGCATTAAAAACTACTGGATCTAAGAACTTAATTGACACCACCAGAGCTCTGTCTTTCCTCATATTCCTTTTGCCTCTGTTCAAATTCATTTCTCAGATACTCCTCCAGGTGGTGAGTGAGATGACCATTGATAGCCCCTACCTCAAAGCCTCCCATCTTAAAGAACATTTCTCTCCCAATGACTCTGTAAATCTCATGGAAATCTCTGATTGGCTGTATTTGGGTTATGTGCCTCTCCCTGAACCAATCACTGTGGGACAGGGAGATGAAATAATATGATTGGCCAAGCCTGGAATAGATGGTAGCAAGTGGGGGAAGGGGGGACCGCACCTCAGACACCATGATTGACAGCTCCACCAGGACCACATGGAATAGGGGAAAGAAGGATCCCCTAAGGAAGGGATGCTAGCAGATCCAAACAGCTGACATCATGGCTCTCACAGAGTGCCATAGTTGATATTGGAGATGAAAAGGTTGTGGGGTGCAGAGTGGATTGAGTAGTAGGAAAGGGTAGGGATAGGCAGAGAGACCTTATTTTTCTAAATCAGGCTACACTGAACTGGGCACTGGAATTATAGAGAAATTTGTTGTCGGGTTGGGGGTGAGTGGACAGATGTGGGAAGAATGAAAATCTGAGGCTCACATTAGCCTCCTATGGCAAATGCTACATCTGGGCATGAAGTGGTTAAACATCTCCCACTTTTCCATAGAGGGATGATTGAAGACTGAATATGGATTAAAAACTGGTGATGGGAATGCTGTAATTTTCTCAGGTAAATTGTGAAGTTGAATGCAATTAGAAAAACATCCTCAAAATAGCTTTGGTTTGGTTGGCATGTGACCAAACCCTGAACAGCTTAGATTAGTATAAAAGAGATTCAAATATCTGTCTCTCACATATGCTTAGGAAACTGAGCTGAAGGAAGAGGAAAGCAGGCCATGCCATCTGTTTAGGAGGTATGCAAGCTCCCAAGTGAGTTGGGAAAGAAAAGGGGCTTTAGTCTTTTAAGACCAGTAAACAGTGAGAAAGACACAGGCTCAGAGAAACAGAAACAAGGTCAGAACCCAGGACAGATAGAGAGTCTGAGACCTGTAAAGCCAGCAGGAGCACCATGCCTTCTGCTGTGTACCACACCAAGTTCTTGCCATCAAAATAATTCCACATACATCTTCTCTAAAAAAAAAAACCCTCCCTATGTATCTCAGCAGTAATGAGTTCTTCCATTAGTGGTAAGGTCATGCATAGGATTCACTGGCCTGCGCCCAGAGCTTGCCTGTTAGGAATGAAAGGAGAGGTTTTGATGACATTGAGCCAAAGGACCACGAGTGCTAGAAAGCTACTGTTGGTCAGTCATCATTCTCTCCTGTGAGGTTAACGAGCATACAATACATTCAAGAGCCATCAACAGATGAGAAATCAAAATACTACTTTATTTTCACTTGGATAGATGCTCAGTTTCTTAGTGCAGGGCTCTCTTGTGAAAGCAAGGTCAGAGCAAGCAGCTGACAGAAAGGCCTCCCCAAGCCTCTCCTTCCCCACTACACACTGAAATCTTCTCACCCTCTGTCCTGCCACATTGGACCAGAAATGGAAGCAATAAAAAGTATGCTCAGCTATGCATTTGAGGAAGAGAAAACAAGATGGTCAGATCCCAAGAGGAGGCCTTGGCTCAGCATATCTATTCCTGCTGCATGAAGTAGAAGAAAAAGCTGCATGGAGGTTCCTAACCCTGCCCTTGTTAAATGTGGCCCAACTAATTTCCTGGCATCTAACCGATCTAATGAACAAGTCCTCTCTGGCAGAAGGCAAAGGTCAGGAGAGAAGGGGAGACATGAAACCGCCCTTTTCTCTAAATACTTGCTCCTCAAAATGTGGGCCCTGGACCAGCAGTATGAGCGTCATCTAGCAGCTTGTTAGAAATGCACAATCTTGGGCCCCACCCTAGATGAAGGGAACCTGGGAGTGGCATTTTAATAAGATCTCCAAGGGATTCATACGCACATTAAAGTTTGAGAAGTACTGAGTTTCTGAATCCCAAATCCATGCCCAAATTGTCATTTCAATTTTTGCTTGCTTCCAAAACTAGTGCTCTGCATATGGTCAATAGTTAATGAAAGGATGTTTGAGAAATTCTTTGGGGCACCTATTTCATTCCATGTGAAGGGAGGAGATCATTTCTGAGAAACCAGCACCCATTCACCAATGAGTGGCTTAGAGACAGAAGCACACTGGAAGCAACCAAACAAAACAGTCCTAGACATCCACGCATAGCTCTGCCGCGTAGGACAGATGGACATAGTATATTTCCTCTCACTTCCCCCCCCCCCCATAATATTCTCTCCTTTCCTCACTAATGCTCTCCTTCATCCAAGCTACTATGAAGCTTTTGTGTCGGGCTGTGCTTCACACACAGGCTAGTGCCCCATGCATTACATGCCTCTTGCAGCCCTGTCCTCAGACCCAAAATCTAAGAAGGAGATACTGCTATCTGTAGGCTATCAAAAAGCAATTTGGCACATCGGTTTTCTCCCCTTTAAATAGCTGTGACTGTCATGACCCAATTCATATCTTATCTCTGACAGTAGCAGTCCCAGGCCTGGATCTTCATCCAATATTTGCCTGGGTAAGAAGTTGACGATAAAAACTCAGAGCACTCAACCCCCAATTTCTTCTCTTTGCTCTACCTGATATAATACCTTACAGTAAAAAGGGCCAGGGGCTGACAAATATTTATGGATTAACAAGAGTCTGCCATAATATCATTAGGGGATCCAATAATGACAGGATTTAATGAATAATGATTAAATTACCATCTGCTGAGCACTTATAATGTACTTGACAACAACCTTATGAAGTAAGTAGTCTTCCCATGTAATAAGTGAGGTAATTTGAAGTTTTCAGAAATTGAATGACATCCAGGAAGCAGCCAAGATAGAAACCCAGCATACCTCTTAAGTACAAAGCCTCTCAACCACTACGGTAATATGATGTTTCACTTGTCAGAAAACACTGCAAACTCCCCGTGTGAGTAAAGAATCATTTTCCTTCTCTGGGGCTAATGTGAGGATTAAATGAGATTAAAGATGTTAACACACTTAGAAAAGTAAGATACTGTAACATATAAGGTATAATTTAGTACATTAAGATCATGTCCAAATAAAAGCCCTCGGTACTATACAAATGGCAACTATATATGTAAAAAATTTTCACACTTGTAATTAAAGATACCCCAGGTCATTCAATATACAGTTCTCATTCATCAAATTAGAAAATGCTTTTCAAAGTTTAACCTCAATGTTGGCAAGGATGTTGTGAAACTACTACATTGCTGGTGGGAGCCCAAGTTAGTACAACCTTTCTCAAAGAGCAAATAGGTAATATGTTTCAAGACATTTTATAAAAAATCAACATAATCTCTTGTAAGGAAAAATAAATTAGGACAAAAATTTAAGTACAAATACAGTTGAGAGCATAGATTCTGAAGCCAGATTGCTTGGATTTAAATCCCAGCTCCACTACTTACAAGCAGTGTGTCCTTGGGAAAGTCTCTGTCACCTGGTATCCAAAATGGGGATAATAATAGTACCTATTTCACTGAGTTGTTATGAGAATTAAATGAATTATTATATGTAAAGTACCTAACCCAGTCCCTGGCACAAAGAAAGCATGATATATAAGTGGTATCTATTATTTTTATTATCTTAGCATTATTTATAGTAATAAACAATTGGAATCATTCCATCTGACCATAGAAAAATGGTTAAGTACACCCTGGTACAGACATAAAATGAATATTATGAAGCCATTAAAAATGAGGCTTTAAAAGACTATTTAAGCACATATATTGTAAAGTAAAAAGAGCAGGAAACTCTATATATCACCCCCATACCACTCATGCTTGCTAAAAGGGCACATTGTACAAATAAGGATGTGTAGAAAACAAAGGGTGGGAATTACATCAAAATATCAGCAAAGAGTGTATTTGGGTGAAGGGATAGGGTTGGGGGTTTCTTCCCTTACGTTTCTGGACTTTACAAATCTAGGGCAGTGCTTCTCACACTCTAGTATCTTTGTCCCTTAGCCCCAGCCAGTTACCAGCAGACAGCCAACCCTCAGCCTGCTTGGAAGAGTGAATGAAGGAATGGAACCTCCGGAGGAAGGGCACGGAACTGTCCTGTAAATGGAAACTGGAACGCATGCACGCCCAGACTGATGACCCACAGTAACAGGTGTTTTCCATCTCCGATCTCGGTGATTCATTCTGCACAGCTGCCCGCACACAGAGGTGTCGGCGGCTCCTAGAATACAACACCCCACACGCAGAAGTGCACAGTGTTCCGGACGCCTGGGCGGCCACACACGGAGACACACCTCGGCGACAACCTGGATCCACAAAAAAGAAGCCCTGCCATCTTAAATATATTAATGCCTGACTGCAAAGAACAAGAAGCTATGGCTTGTGCCTACGCCCCTTGCTCCCAGCCGCACCTTTCTAGTTTTCAAGCAATCTATTGAGGGTGAGTCTGCATGCGTCTGGTCGCTGGTGGACCCCCTCTCTAAACACACACACACACACACACCCCTTCCCCCATTCGTCTCTTTCAGACTAGGACCCCCTCCCTAAACACACACACACACTGGCGGCCCCCCTCTCTAAACACACACACGCACACACACACACACTGGCGGACCCCCTCTCTAAACACACACACACACACCCCTTCCCCCATTCGTCTCTTTCAGACTACGACCCCCTCCCTAAACACACACACACACCGGCGGACCCCCTCTCTAAACACACACACACACACCCCTTCCCCCATTCGTCTTTTTCAGACTAGGACCCCCTCCCTAAACACACACACACACACACACACTGGCGGACCCCCTCTCTAAACACACACACACACACCCCTTCCCCCATTCGTCTCTTTCAGACTAGGACCCCCTCCCTAAACACACACACACACTGGCGGCCCCCCTCTCTAAACACACACACGCACACACACACACACTGGCGGACCCCCTCTCTAAACACACACACACACACCCCTTCCCCCATTCGTCTCTTTCAGACTACGACCCCCTCCCTAAACACACACACACACCGGCGGACCCCCTCTCTAAACACACACACACACACCCCTTCCCCCATTCGTCTTTTTCAGACTAGGACCCCCTCCCTAAACACACACACACACACACACACTGGCGGACCCCCTCTCTAAACACACACACACACACCCCTTCCCCCATTCGTCTCTTTCAGACTAGGACCCCCTCCCTAAACACACACACACACACACACACACACACCGGCGGCCCCCCTCTCTAAACACACACACACACCGGCGGCCCCCCTCTCTAAACACACACACCCCTTCCCCCATTCGTCTCTTTCAGACTAGGACCCCCTCCCTAAACACACACACACACACACACACACACACCGGCGGCCCCCCTCTCTAAACACACACACACACCGGCGGCCCCCCTCTCTAAACACACACACCCCTTCCCCCATTCGTCTCTTTCAGACTAGGCGCTTCTCCGAGTGTTGGGTTGAATGGGAAAGAACGGGCCCGTCTTTGTCATTAACCCTCCCCTCCTTCGGGCGAGCCAAGCTTCTTCCGGGTCAGCGACAATACCGCCACCCCAATCGGGCCCGCGGTCCCCCATCCCGCGAGCCCTGCGCCCGCGAGGGCCAGGTCGCCACCGCCCGCAGGTTGCGGGAGGGGAGGAGGGCGAGAAGGGCGGGCGGCGCGGGAGAGGGGGAGGGAGGGAGGGAGGGGACGGCAATCCGAGGAGGAGGAGGAGGAGGAGGAGGAGGAGAGAGCAGCCTACCGCCGCCGGCGAGGAGAATGGGAGTGCGGGGCGCCAGACCGCCGCGGGGTGTCACGGCCGCGGCCAAGCTTGCCGAGCGCGGGGCAGGCGCCCGCCGCTTTTAAACCCGGGAGGGCGCGGCGCGCGCGGGGCGCCGGGCGGCGGCCGGATGGAGAGGAAGGGCTCGGCGGCCGCGGCCAAGGGGAACCCGAGCCCGCCCGCGGCCGGCGAGGCGCAGCGGCCGCCGCCGCCACTGTGCGTCCCGGGCGGCGGCGGCGGCGGCGGGGTCCCGGCGCGCGGCCAGGCTGGGGCGGCGGCCGAGCCCGCCGAGTGCATCCGGCGGGCGCACGAGTTCAAGAGCCAAGGGGCGCAGTGCTACAAGGACAAGAAATTCCGCGAAGCCATCGGCAAATACCACCGGGCGTTGCTGGAGCTGAAGGGGCTGCTGCCGGCGCCCGGGGAGCAGGAGCGGGACTCGCGCGCGGCCTCCCCGCCCGGGGCCCCAAACCCCGGCCGCCTCTCGGAGGAGCAGAGCAAGACCGTGGAAGCCATCGAGATCGACTGCTACAACAGCCTGGCAGGTGAGCCGCGAGCGCCGCGCCCGGCCCCTCCTCCCCTGCCTGCCCGCCCGCCCCCCGCCCGGCGCCCGGCGAGGCGCCCCGGCCCTCGGGTCCCAGCCGGCCGCTGCGGCGCGCCCGCGCTGCCCGCTTCCCCGCTGGCACCGTGCTGCCCCGGGAAGGGGGACCCGGGAGGGGGGCGCTTTGGAAAAAGTGACTTTTAGGATTACACCTCCCCAAACTCGTCGTCATCCTGTGTCCCTTCCCCCTCATCCATCGTAAATCCCACCTAAAAATAACTGGACAGACAGAAGGAGCCCCGGCTGGCCTGGTGGCGATTGCCGTTGCTACTGCTCACCAGGGGACCTGGGTCCAAATGCGGGAAGTAGCGCCCAGGGAGGGCACCCGCACCCACCGCGTGCCCAGTGGCCGCTTTCCTCAGGTATCATTGGCACCAGAGCTCGCCCTCACCTTGCCCTCAACTGACAGCAGCCCGATGGGTAAAGTCCTTCCTGCCCCAAGTTCCCTTGGCCTCGGTAGCAAAGGGCAGTTTGTCGCGATGCCTTCAGCATCTTGAGCAAAATGGATGCCAAAATGCCACTTCTTCTTCTCTCTGAGCTCTGCTGGGGCCCCCGGTTGCCAGGTGAAGAGAGCGATCTCAAAGGGAGGCTAGTTCATGGTTGAGCTTGAGCTGTGTGCCACATCCTGGCTCTGTTAGCATTGGTCCTCTCCCAGCGGACTGCGGGCCCGAGGGAAAAGGGCGCCCCAGCAGAGCTCAGAGAAGGGGAGGTATACCTTCCAGAGTTCACTTTGGGGATTTAGGTCAAAGTCAGGCGTTTTTAAAAATTTAACTTTGCCACAGGAAATTTAAAGTCTCTTTTAAAAAAGGAAGAGCTTGGGTCATTCCAGGCCCTTCCTGCGGGAAGGTGGGAGATGTTGGCAGGCGCAATGGCCTTATATTTGGAGAGGCATTCTGTACTCCTCTCTCACCCTGTTTGGTGGGATTTGGGCACGGTCCAGCTCCTCTGGCCAAATAAAAGGCCATTACTCCTAGTCCCTAACCCTTGAAGTTGCCTAAACTAGCTCCGGACAGTTGGAGCAGAGGAGCTTCAGGAGAGTGACTGGGTGTGGCCTGGGGAGGGTGAATGTGTTTTGGGCACAGGAAGTTGGGGGATGGAAAAAAATATATCAGTAATTCTGTTCTGTTCCCTTTGAGGTGTCTAGTGCCAGACTGACTCTGTGTTCCCATAATGCCATGCCCAGTATCACCTTTAATCAGGCAAAACCCAGCCACTTTATAAATTATAGTTTACAAATGTAAGGGATTAATAGAGTAGTAGCAGTTGTAAAAATGGTGGTGCCCATAGCAGTCCTAGTAATAATGGCACTAGGTAAAGTAGTCCTGTAGCAAAGATGGACTATCTCAATCCATCATAACTGCAGCTTGATTCTCTTTTTATTTCCCGTAAGCCTCTGGCATACTTGCTTCTGCCTGATGAATAGTTAAAGGGCAGAGTGGCCGTGGGTGGAGGAAGAGGCACTCCGGATCACTAATGCGGTGATTTCAGAGTGGTCATGGAGTCTTATATTTAGTCTTAGCCATGGGCATTCTAGGGTTGCCCCTCACCCCACGCTTTTGGCTGCTGGCCTGTGGCTAGGACTGCCTATCTCCTACCGGAGAGGTGGTTACATTTCCTTGGTGAAACCAAAGATGTGTCCTTGGTCAGGCAAGCCCAGTCAGGGCGGGGCTGAGATCCCGCCAGCTCCTGACCCCCGCCCCCACCCTGCAGGCGCTTGGAAAACTTCAGTGGTGAGAGAATGGAGAGTAGCAATAGCAGATCTCCCCTCTGCTGCCTTCTCCAGCGCTCACCCCTTCTTCATATTAATAATTTACTGTGTGTACTGTGCTAGTCACTCTACATACAATGCGCTTTTTAACCTTTAAAACAACTTGCTATAAGATTGCAGAGAAAAAAAACCCTGAGGTTCCAGAGCCATTCAACTCCAAAATCAATGTTCTTGCCATCACACCTTGATGCGCAAAGTCACTGTCCTCTAGGCCTCTGGCTCCCTGAATCTAGTCTCAGGTGGGCTTCTGTTTGGAGCTCTGAGCCCTGGGAACCAGGAGAAAGAAATGCGGGACCTTAATTCAAAACTCTGATAGGGCTCTTCCTAAGTATTTTCAAGTTTCAATGAGAGAGAAAAGAAGAGTACTTACAAGCTGAGCAGTCCTGTCAAAGCCAAAATCTGTATCCTGTATAGAAAATTCAATTGGGAGAAGGGATCCTGGAAGTCACCTAGAGAAGGAGAAGACTGATGTTGGTTTTCTTTGGGATAATGCTTAAAATCTGTTACTAATGTCTAAGAAATCCTAGCTAATAAGAAAGTATCCTTTCTTGTTGGACTACAAAAGTAATATGTACCTCTAAAGTATATTTTCTTTTAGAAAATACAAAAAAGTTTAGGGGCGCCTGGGTGGCTCAGTCGTTAAGCATCTGCCTTCGGCTCAGGTCATGATCCCAGGGTCCTGGGATCCAGCCCCACATCGGGCTCCCTGCTCAGCGGGAAGCCTGCTTCTCCCTCTCCCTCTCCCACTCCCCCTGCTTGTGTTCTCTCTCTCTTGCTGTGTCTCTCTCTGTCAAATAAATAAAAAATCTTAAAAAAAAAAAAAAAGAAAATACAAAAAAGTTTAAAGAAGAAAATGCAAAATTACTCTTAACCTCACCACCAAAAGACATCCCTTGTGATATATTTCCTCCCTGTATTTTTTTTTTTCATACATAAATGTAAACTGTTTACAAAGCCAGGACCTCCTGTATCCTGCTTTTATTCCCACTTACGATTATATGAAAAGCATTTTTACATTTCATTAAAATATTTTCGTGAAGATTATTTGACATTGCGACATAAAATTTTTAAGCGTTTACGACTGCCACTTGATGGAAAGGGAAGAAAAGATCGCTGTCACTGTTGTCAGAGCCAGAGCAGGGCAGTGTGGCCCAGAAGATACCCTGTCCCCCTTGTGCCTGCTGATAGGAAGGAGACCACAGCTGCACATTCTTTCTGGCAGAAAGGCCCCTGAGCCTTCCATCCGGGCTGCAGTGCTGGCTGAGCAGCCCAGCCGGCTCCTGGTGGGAGCAGTCTGAAGATGTTTGCACTCTCAAAGATCTGTCCTTCTACACAGCTGACCATAGAGAGAGATGTTTGAGGTTTGGGAGGAACTTGGACTAGCCCAGAAGTACCCGGAGGATTAGGCCATGTTGCTAAGGGCATCTCGGCATTCACAAAAGGCTGTTGTGGGGCTTCTGGAAAAAACCTAGGTCTGGTGGACCCTGGTACTCTTCATGGAAGGCTCCAAGAGAATAGCAAGGGGGCAGCTAGAATGTGCAATGTGCTAAGAGATGTTAGTCTAAAAATTCATTTGGATGACTTGAGGGGGTCACATGAAGCGTGTGCAGGCAGTTGTCAAAGTGCCCATGGTTGTGGTCTGTTCTGGCTTGGAGGTCCTTCTGATTAGGAGGGATCTGGCCAGTACTGCAAGACCCCTGGACTTGATTTTACCTGTCTTATTCTTTAAGGAAAAAAAAAAAATATATGGGAAGCATCCCGTTCTTTCAGAATTTTGAATGACTTTGATACAGTGATTGAAAAGATATTCTGACCTGCCTGGGGCGATGTAGGACTCTGATCCTTACCAAAGCTGCGAAGGAAGCATGTGTTGTTGTCCTGTTGATTGACTCCTGTTGACCTTGAACAAGACACAGGACTCCCCTGGGGCCTTGGAATGTTTTGTGCAGCATCTTTTGAAAGGCAGAGTCTTTTGCTCCACATGATTCCTATGGGGCTGTGGTGGCCCCAGCTGGGTGTGATCAAAAGGGTGCAACATGTAATGACTTTGTTGGAATTTTCAAATGACATTCAAGACTCAAATGCCCGCAGTGTAGATGAGTGCCAACAGGCTGTGGCATTGGATCTAGATGAGGATCAGCTTGTGCCTCTATCCCTGGCATACCCTGTGACTTTGGTTAAGCCCCTACCATGTCATTTTACCCATTTCCCCATCCACATAGAGCTACATGTAAGAAATTTGTTGTTGTTGTTGTTTATTTTACCAAAGGGGCAGATAGTATCCACTGATCCTATAAAAAGCCCCAGGACAGCGGTATGATAAGGCCTAGAGAGGTCACACTGGGAAAAGGCCTGGGATGGACATGTCTTAAAGCCACAGAACAGGGCTACATAATTTGTGCAGCCCAGTGCAAATGAAAATAGGGAGCTCCTTATTCAAAAAGTGTGTGGGGGAAGTATCATTAAAGGTGTTAAAAGATAAAGCTTTTTTCCTTTCTTTCATGATCTCTTTCTCTCTCTCGATTTGACATGGTGCTTTTATTTGCTATTTAATGTCAGTATAAGAAAATTAAAATTTTATTTTAAATTATTGGCATGAATTTTACTGTTCATCTTTATATTGTGTAATGCTAGTTTTAAATGGAAATAGGAAAGCACTTACCTTGTATGTTAATTCACGTAAATTACACAATTCACGTTTTGTAGCTTATACATGCATATGTAGTTTATTCTTCCTAGAACAGTGGAAATGCTGACAAAACAAACTCAATGGTTTTTATTTTGTTTCTTTCCACACACTCTTTATGTGTGCATTTCCCACCAAGTTTGGCTTTCTACTGAGTAAGGAAAGGAAAAGGAAGTATTCCCTACTCTTACCCTACTCTTTCCTTCTATGTCATCATTTGCAGCATAAGCAGTTGGCTAGTACCAGGTAGAAACATAAGTAAGAAAGGAGATGATGGGGCTTTAGGTCATTTGTGCTTCTTATTGCTTTCTTTCTGTATTTGAAACAATTTCTGGGTTGAATGGGAAGCATGCCTCTTGGGACTGTCAGCATGTCTGCCTGCTTACTTAGTTACAGACCTGATAGTCTTACCTTATACTCAAGCTGGGTCTTGCTGAATTCTCACACACTGTGGGTCCACCGAATTCTGTGCTCATGGGGCATCCTGAATGCTACGTGCAACTGGGGCTGCAAAGAATGGTTGTGCCTCTCTCCTCTGCTCATGTTTGTGCTCCATCATCCCATCAAACTTCACTTACAAAACACAGCTCCAAAGATAAAATTGTTAGAAATTTCGAGGAAGCAATAACAGAGCATTAAATCAAATACAGGGCCCTTCTGACTGCATAAGCCACCCACCCTTGAAGTCGCCCTCAATGGGATACCAGAAGCTGACCGGGTAGATACATCTAAGGGGGACAAAATTAGATAAAGACTCTGAGGCAGGTTCTAAGACAAAGGGTACTCAACAGAAATGGATGTGGAACCAGAGAACCAAGCATAAAGATGGATGAATTATAAATGCAAGAACTGAGTGGTAAAAAGGAGATGAAGTCTAGAGACAACTGGTAACCCAGTAGCCAGAAGATAAGTTTTGGGGATAAGAATTGGTCAGAGGAAGGGGAAAGAAGAGGGGCTTCATGCTAAGATGCACAGCCAAGAGCTTGCCCTCTGGGTGAGAGAGCTTGACTGGCCAAGCCATTGTTGATCTGAGGCTGTTCCTTGGGCAACACCTTTGCCAATAAATCTCTGGCCTCTAAGATCATTTTCCAAGAAATGATGTGAGAATTGAAACTTGTAGGATGCTTTCTAGGAAAGAACATTCTGAACATAGACTTTGGACTGAGTTTCTAAA